TGGAGACTGCTGGAAGCTGCAGGAGCGAGCTGGAGTCTCAGAGGGCAAGCAGTAGCGAAGAGTGAAGTGAGTGGAGCCTCGATGAGTGGTGATCAAATGAGTTAATCCTGAAAAGGACTGTTTGAACAACTGCTACTGGGTCCCGTCAGCTGCTGGGCTTGGTCGACTTGACTGGGCACGTTAAAGTCGCGATTCAGGAAGGCTCCCCTTGCCGGTGGTATTTACTTAACTCCCATGGGGTCAAGATGTGACACAAGGTCATTTTTCGTGGGAAACCCAAGCGTTTCCGCATAGGGTCACTGGTCAAAGATTGGTCATGACATGTCCAAGCTGGTCAAAGCTTAGTCAAGTTTTGGTCCAAATTGGTCTTGGCAGGTCCTGATATGGTCCAAACTAGACTTTGCTACAGTCGCAACCCAGCCCGAAGGCTGGGCGGTGGCGTGGCCGGCGCTGTGAAGTCTCTGGCATCTATATAAGACTGTTCATACAAGAGAAGCGGTGACGCTAAACAAGTAAATGAATATAATTAATTTCAGGCCATATTAATTACAGTCAAAAGTGTGTTCGGTGTTTGTTGACTGTATTTAAATTAATTTCGGTTTGAAATTAAAGGTATTTTATTTTTGTTTAGTGGCGAAAATTGAGTTTTGTGTGTTTCTGTCAGTTTGAAAGGAGGTCGTTGCTATTTTTAGCACACAAGGGTCGTGACCTCTCTCTACCGGCAGGCATATCCGGGGTTGTTTACAAAAAGGTGGGAGTGGTGTTCGGGCACACTGCGACAAACTCTAATTTCAAAATTTACAAGGGCATGAGTTCACATCACTGATTGGTCAGTAAATAAAATAATATATGTTTTTTTCTATTCAAAAAAATGAATCAGCAATAATCCACACAAAAGAAATAATCTTGGCAGTTCTTTAACTGCTAATTCTAAAAATTGAAATTTTCACTGACAAATGTAACAATTTTTTTATAAATCATCTGACTTTCTTTCTCAAAAGTATGTGTAAAATACAAATCTAGATGATTATAATATTTATTTATTTACACCTTTTCATTAATTATAATTTTAATTATTTTACACTGCATAAAGATTTTTATATTTTATATTATATTTTATATTTTAGTAGTCACAAGTCATGGAAAATGTTCAGATGAGCTCAATTCTTTAGTTGGTGTATTAGTTCAGACCTTTACAGCAAAGACTGCCTGGTTATACCCAGAGTTGAATCACCCTTATTACCTATGTATTCCATTGGTAAAAAAGATGTTCCACCCAGATAGCTTTTTCCCTAGAACCCCTACTGTACAGAATAGACTCCCACATGTATGCTTCCATGAACACTACAATCTTCACCTCTTCAAGTCAAAGGTCAATCATTATCAATCCTCCATATCCTCATAATCTTCTCTTCCTTCTCACATTCATATTACACACCTCAATCGGTAACCTTTTACCATGAGTGGCTTTTGGGCCTTGTACTGGGTGAACATTAGTATAAAAAAATTTAAAAGCTTCCACCACTCATTCCTCACATCTTTGTCTTTCCACCTTTTTCCCTCAACCTTTCTCCTGCCAGTTTCACTTTAACAAGGAACCAGATGGTAGAGCATGGCATACACAAAGCTGTTTGTTTTAAAAGTCATTGGGGTATGTTTTTTTCATGGAATCTAATGGTGTTGCTTGTTTTGTATTTGCTGAAGCATTTTATGACAAAATTTGCAATTGATAATTATTTTGATAATTTTTGTACTGTTATTTTTAAGGTGCTTTATATCAGGATAATTTTTCCCCAAATTCATTGTTTTCACCTTGATATTTTTGCACCTGTGAATATTTTTTGTGCAGAAATTTCTCCTGACATTCCTTGGGATTTTCCTGGGTATTTTTTTTATTTTTGCAGACATTCCACCTGATTTTTGTAAATATTTCTCATTGTGTGGACATTTCTCCTGACACGTCTTTGAATTTTTACAATATCTTCTATACTATGAACAGAAAGAAGAGAAACACAGAAGCCAAGTGCAAGGCTTTTTGCCCTGAGTGAATAAACAAATATTTTGTCATTTCTTTCTAGTGACAAAATAGGTTACATTGTGTGCCATGTAACAGTATCTTTTCCCAAAGAATACAACATGAGATGGAACTTTCAAATCAAGCATCAGGCAAAACTGAATTCATCTGTTACAGCAGCCATTTTGGTGAAAAATCTTGACAAAGAACAAAGGTTTTTCAAAGTAGTCAATACAGAAAATTCAATGTTAACTAGAATAAATTTAAAAATTTAAAAGAAAATTGCTGCCACTGGGAAGTTATTCACAGAGGGAGACTTTATCAAGAAGTGTATGTTTTTTGCTGTGTAAGGCTGGTTATTCCATAATATCAATCTCTCACACATGATGCTACAGAAAAAAAAGTAGGTGATATTGCTTCAAACTTAACAGAGCTGTTAAAACTGAGTGTGGAAGAAGGGGTGTGTTTATTCACTAGCAATGGATGAAAGCTCAGTGTGTCAGGATACAGCTCAGCCTTTTTATATTTGACAAGTGGATACAGTTTTTGACATGTGGGAAGAACTTGCTGGCATCCAGTCTTTGACTAGTTGTTTTAACATAAAATTGGAAAATGATTTCACAAACTTAGTGTCTGTTAGCACTGATGTGTATGAAAATATTGGAGTGGTTTCTTTTCTATAAGAATTCCTTGGGAGATGAATATTCACCCATCACTGTATCATACATCAGCAAGTTTTGTGCAGAAGAATTATAAAACTCAATCATGTTATGGCAAAATTTAATCTTTGCACCAGTAAAAAAAGATGTACTAAGAGGACAGTTATTTGCTTGACACTGATATTACTGTATGCTTCCTTGATTCCCTTAGCAATGTTTATGGTTTTAAAAAGCAATGATTAGAATTTAATAAAGCCCCAAAATATGAAGATGGATTTTTATACATCTTTGTTCTTGAGAACTGACAACAAAAATAATAAATACTATTTATTTATTAGATTGTTTATTTACAAGAATAATTTTATATTTACAAAATTATAAAAATATGTGAAACCAACTATGATACAATATTTATTATTTGACATTTCATAAAGATCTATTTTTTTAAAAAGAAATAAATGTGAAAAGAAATTTTTTATTCATAAATTTATAAAAATATTTGTGAACAAGAAAATTTAAATAAATACATAACAATGAGTAACTGTAATTATAAATTACAAATGCATTTTCTGAGCATTTGTTTCATTTGCTCTCACCATGAAAATTAAAACAAAGAAGTAATCTGAGATAAAAATAAACTGAGAGGAAATTGTATTATGTCCAGAAAATCATGTTTATTCAAATTTTCTTGTTCTAGAGTTCATTGATATTTTTATAAAATTATGAATAAAAAAATGTTTTCATATTCATTTCTAAAATGATAAATAATAAATATCACATTGTAGTTGGTTCACTTATTTTTATAATCTTGCAAATAGACACTGCTGAGGGAGTATTTTTTTGTTTTTTACAGTGATATTCACCTCGAGGTAGAGATTACAGAGTGAGAGGAACATTTTATGTGGATATGTAGGGAATATAATGGTTAACCTTAGACTTAAACAGTTTAAGATTGTAGTGATTGTGAAAACAACCTCTTAGGAGTCGGTTCCACAAAGCAGTGGTTTGAAGGTAAAAGATGCTCAAGTGAAACTTATATTTCACAAATGCAATATAGAGGAAATGAAGGTGGCTCATTACAATGTGCATGGTATGGCAGGCTCAACCATGAATGTTCGAACTGGTGGAACTAAGGAATGGAGTTTATCAGAAAGATTTTCATGGAAATAATGAGAGAGCAGTGGCAGGCTTGTGACATTTCATCTGTGGGGTTGTAGTGTGGAAAATAATTTGTCACACACAAGGACTTGGACTCTATCGAAACTAGAAAATGAGAACTGGGAAACTCCTGCCCATGTATAACAGCAATACTCCATTTTTGTTCTGATCTGGTTCATGTAAAGGTAGAGGATAGCATAAGGAGTCAGAGCTAGAGCAGTACAGAGAACTGATAATTTTTCCTGCTTCTTTAGTGATTGATCATATGTATAAGCTTCACTTAAGGTCTGGGTTGAATTTAAGGCCCAATAGAGTCTCCCTGAAGGGAACATCCATTCATCATGATTGGTAATAGTTCAGGGTCTTATCAGGATTATACAGTAATGGTAGTGTCAACAGAAAACCTGTTCTTTTCATACACTGTTTCTTTGTGGGTACAAAGGGTAAACATTGCTCATGTTATATTTGCCATAGTCTCCACTGGTGCTGTAATGTTTTGTAGCCTTAAAAGAGGAAATATCACAATTTCTAGAAAATGAACATTTTGAAAATGAAGCCTGAGATTATGATCTCTTCTTCATTTGTGATATTACAACTTATCAGAATGATCTTTAATATTCTGTTTCAGGGGAAAAACCAATTTTCCAACTAGTAGTAGCAGCCTTCAAAATTATATTAAATTCACCTGGCAAAAGGTGAAATGTGTCACTTTCCTACATGTGAAGTATATTCTCAAAAACAAACATGTTGAATTGGGAGCGAAATATGCTTAATAAATTCTAATACTTTTTATTAATTTTTCAAAAGAAGACATCCAGTTGAAAGTGTCTCTTTTCTACCAATCCATAAGCAATGTGGCCCTTTACATCTTTTAATTCTGCAATCTAGATGATCTCAATTCTTTCCAGTCACTCCAGTCTTTTCCGAATCTTTCCTAGAGCTCTCCAACAATTACTGGCACAATTGTCATATTCACGTCCTATCCACTCTTCAGTTCTATAGATACAATTTTATTATATGACCTACTTAAACAGTGAAATCCACTATATGACAAATCTTTGAGATGTTGTTAATGAGATAAAATCTTTTCACCTATCTTGGGTGATCTGTTTGAATCTCAACGTCTTAGAATATTCATTAAAACATGAGTTAGCTTATGCCTGCATCACATTGAAACACCAGTTCCCATACGATCACTAAAGTTAAGAAATGTCGACCCTGGTCAGTACCTAGATGAGTGATCGCTTGGGATTACCAGATGGTGTAAGCATGGATGTGTTGCAGCCACTGCTCGTCACTCCTAAACAAAACAAAATAGGATGACCTTGACCTTTGCAACCCTGCTACTCCCAGAACTGAATCAGCAGTTAATTAGCAATAAAACAAGTATCCTGATATATTTTGAGTTAGAAATATACCATTAAGTATATAGGATATGAAAGTGTTAACCAACATATGAACAGCATTTGGAGTATTTTTATATTTAGCATTTTCTACTCCCAGTAGCCAGGGAGTAAAAGAACAAATGTTATGGATATAAATTTGGCCCCTTTTTTTTTTTGACAAAAAAGCAGCTTCTCAGTCCATGGGTTATGATCAGAATGTAGTATCTGTGCACTGCTTTTTGATCTCCCGGTATACCCCTTAGGGATACTCTTTAGTGTGATACCATCTTCCATGGTTAATCTGCCTTGAAGTTGTATCATTTCCATGACTCGGTCCTAGGGAGATTTCTGTGGGTTTCCACTTGTTGTTGTAATCAAATTACACTGGGATCCCCTTTTAGAGTTTGCAGCTTGTGTTAGTAGTAATTCAAATTTCTAAGTTTTGGTCTTTAGGGCTTGTACAAGGTCTTGGTCAAGAGGTCTTGGCAAACAATGTAGATTCCAGTAGCATAATGTGGGAACTCTCTCAGTTGTCCAAACGTTCGGCTTATATGGATTCCTGGATCCAGTAGGGGTTGGTTTGACCAGGGTCTGTGTTCAGTTATCTTCCACCCTTAGCATCAACCTTTTTCTAAAATTCCATATTCTCAAAATATGTTTTCCAAATTTGGAGGTTTGGACAACCCCTTTTTTAGAGTGGTCAGAGGCATCAAGCCGCCCTCTTAACTCCAAATGTTTCATATCTCATCTCACACGATTGCTCCATATAGGCATTGCTAATCTCTCTCTCTTCCTTCTCCCACTTTCTCAGCATCTAACTTCAGCCCACTCCAAGGGCTGACACACCGTCCCTGTGACAAATCCAAACTTTTGGAATGCATAGGCAAAAAGGGATTTTCAGCCACTAATCTTTCTTTATCATCTTATCTTATACTGGTTGTTTCTCAATCAACCACACCACTCAGTTGATCACCTTTGGTCACTCTCCAGGGCTAATAACTAATTTTTCTTTATCACTTGTATCCAGAGGAATTAATGTTGGATATAACATTTTTGATGAATGTTGCAAAAATTATAATGAATGAACATGTCAGGCTAATCTCTTTCTTTGTAGGGACACTTTTCTTCTGGGTGGACAATTTAAACCAAATGTTTTTTTTTTTTCCTGGCTCTTTGTCCAGAATGATCTTTAAATGTTATTTTGGTGACCAACATGGTTTCTTTATCAACAACATATGTTTTTTTAATTGACATCTTCAAGAATACATTAATGATCTCTTTCTTATTGGTAGGAAGTCGTGAAGGATGGGTAGTCTTGGTTTTGGTCAATTTTACTGAATTTTGTCTCATTAAATTTGGGTTTGATTCTCCTTGGAACTGTTTGGGAGTTCATTTATTATTTTAAAACATGATTTTTCAATGCATTTCATTCTTTAATTTTCTTCTGCGAATTTCAACAATTATCATCCAGTTGGTAGACTCTTTCCTCTTCCTTTTTTCTTTCTTTTTTGTTTGATTAACCCCTTGAGTTGAATTTGGGAACCCCTGATATACATGATTAGAGAAAGTGGCAGAGAAATATCTGTGGAGAGATCAAGAGCAAATTATTTTCTCTTCTAGTCCAGCAAACAATGGTAAGAGTATTTCATTTACAATCTCCTCAAAAATGTGAAATTAGTAAGAAAGCTAAAAAAAAATTTTCATGCTCTATTTCCTTTCCCATCATTTTTAACTGCCATCTTTCAGCTTAGATAAGCAAAGTATGTGACAATGTGATAATTATCAATGCAATATTTAATGCATTGATCAAGTCAGGGGAACATGTAATTAGGTTTGAAATGGGAACATATGGTGTGAATAAGACCTAAAATTAAACTATGATAAAGATCTTTTAAAATCCCAAATCTTTAACCCAATTTATTTTAACAATAAACTAGTTTTAATACATTGGACCACAGAAAGAAACAACTGCAAGTTTCAAAATAATGTAACTGAAAATTTCTTGAATTTTATGTTCAATCTCGATATTTCAAAGAAGTCATTGATTTCATTGATTGATTCATTCATTTTTTACAGCTTATCAACACTTGGCATTGATTTCAGCAACAAATGAAAAATAGCTGTAAAATGTTTCCTAATGAAATAGTATTCTTATTTGACAAAAATTTTAACATATGAAAAATGTAATTAATTTGAAAAAAATTAGTATAATTTCATTTAAACCATAAAAATATTGTTCATAATATAATTTTAAGATTATAGCCCACTTGTTAGAAAACTTGATTGTAAAATTTAACTGACAAGAGTGGAATCTTCATGAAAAGCAGAGTAGAGACAAGATAAGTAAACATTTATTTTTATTTATTACTATCTTGATATTGAACATTATAATTGCAAAGATTGCTTGCTTTTAAAATGTTATCTTTCAAGTTACTCCTATTTTTTCTTTTGGTAAAACACAATCTTTGACACACACACAAACACACACACACACACACACACACACACACATATATATATATTGCATTTTTTTTATTTACACTATTTACAGTATTTGGACTGTTGTCCTCATCTTTGTTGTCATATTCACAATGTTTCGGCTGTTGTACACTATGGCCTTCTTCAGCTGATTGGAATTTCGAACTGAACCCTTTATTTTGTCCACCATAGTAGATTGTTCTAGTTCCACATGCCATACGTTTTCTGAATAATTTAGTGTCAGTTATTTCCCTTTATTAACTCAACCCTCCAAGTTTTTGTTTACCTTTGCTGTGTCCAGGTATTGAACTCACAACTCTTTTGGGTCAAGTCACTGAATTACTTCAACCAATGCTTTTATTCACTGGTGAATATTATAAATTTAATGTGAATAGGATAACAAAGATTAGGACAACAGTCAGAACAATGTAAATAGTGTAAATAGTTACAATAACTCATCTCAGAAATATGGACAGATGCATTTTTTAGATGTGGATTTATTATTATTCAGAGAGGGAGAGAGAGAGAGAGAGAGAGAGAGAGAGAGAGAGAGAGAGAGCAGTGCTGCAACAAAATGATGCAGAGATACAAATATATAAAACCAAACATATGTATCATGACACCCAGTCTAATATGAGTATACCAGGGACATGCATCACAGTTAAACATGCATGATATGGTGATCGGTTCTTATAGAAGCCATTCATAACCTTGCAGTTGGGACCCAGGTAGAAACAGTTAAGTAATACAATTCATATAGACAGTCTTTGATTGAAGGTGTCCCCAAGTTTCTGGGTGTGATTCCAAAGTCACCTTGACTGCCTCATACTTCAAACTTAAAATAAAACCTTCTTGACAACCAAGCATGATGCTCTTGAATAAAAATGCACACTGTATCAGTTCTTAAGGGACATGTGTAACTTGTCAAAGGTCAAACAACTAACAAACAAATCTGTGGTACTGAATGGGATATTTACTGTAGCCCAAGACAAAACATGTAGATGCCAATCCATTACAATTAGATGCCATGAGAGCTATATGTAGCATATTATCAGGACCATCATGTCACATAATGAATTTAATAGGACAAGAAGGGAACCGCATGTTCAATTTTCTTAATGTAGATCACTATCTTCAGTAGTGTAAACCCCAACTATCTAATGATAATTAGGACAGTAGTGGCCTAAACATTTAACATTCTAGCAACTTCAATCCAGAGGTGAGTGTGTCTGGTGGCAGCCATTGGTAGACCACTGGCAGGCCAAAGGTGGGCCACTAGCAGTCCACAAGTGGTAACATTTCCGACATGAACATGTCAGCAGTCTGACAGCAGGCCACCAGCAGTAAATGCTAGTGGCATGCACCCAGTGGCAGATTGGTGGCTTGCATGTAGGGATGCTTTCAAAGGAAATGAGCAAATTTACATTATTACAGTTTTACAAATTGTCATTTACCAGAGCAGAAATTTGATCATAAACAACTTTGATTTATTGTAGCATAATTCAAATAAATGTGTCAAGTAGACTGGCACTATACATGTAGACAAGGCTAATTAAATGTTATCAGAATTATATTGTCTCTTTTTCTCACTCATCTGCAAACAAATACACAATTCTTACTGTTTGCAGTTAATTCATACAACCAAATTCATTATGAAATAGATTCAAAATGGCGTCAAAGTTCTTCCTGTAGAGAACATATAGATATCTAGTAAGTATTTGTATAACACTTAACTTACTTATGACTGAAGACAATATTTTGTAAATGGAAGAAAATGGGGTTATGAAGATTATATTGCCCCAATCTTCTAAAAGGGAGGGTTTATCTGTCTTGAAAATCAGTATTTGAAATGCAGACTTTTCTTAGACTAAACACTGCCTTTTTTTTTAATCATTTCTTCCCCAAGCAAAACAGGAATGCTACTAGTACTCAGGGGGTTACAGAGAGTGAAAGAGAGAGAAAAGACTGGGTATAGAGGGGACCAAGAAAAGGATAAAAAGTTGGATGGGGTTGAAGAAGATAGAAGATGGCAATTGATGTTGCATTTAAATTTTTGAAGATTGTAGTTATCAGAGAAGCAAGAAAACGGAAGGAAGTTCCACAGGCAGGAAGTGCGAGAAAAGAAACTGTTGGAGTAGAAGTGACAGTTGCATTTACCTAATTCAACAGTAAAAGGGTGGGACCTAGATTCCAGTCTAGTAGTATGCTTAAACACACGTTGTCAGGGCACCAAGAAAAAAGCTCTAATGAGAAATGTATATGTATCTAGTCCATCACATTAAATATATTTATTAAAAAGGTAAATGAGCCTTATTTTGCTGTAGAATCTTTCATTGCTGAGCAGTTAAAGAATGCCTAGCTTAAGGGTGGTTTTCCCAGGATAAAAGTAACACAGGCTCAATCCT